TTTTATTTTGGGCTTAATTTTTATTTTTCAATTTTGGGCCTAAAAGAAATTATTTGGGTATAAAAATTAAGAAAAACAACAATAATGAAATAAAAAATACACAATTCGTCTCATAAGCATAAAAATACACATTTCTTCCCATAAACATAAAAATACAAAAATGATGAAGATTAAATTATACAAACAAAAATTAGGGTTAACTCGAAAAACTAGTAAGAGAAGGTGGGAAAATCTAAAAATGAAAAAACGAAGGTGGAAAAAAGTGAAAAATTATAGTGTCTTGCAAAATTAAGTCAACAAAAGGCCAAAAAGTGAAAGTGAATGTATTGTATTTGTCGGCCATAGTGAATGACTGAATGTTGTTATAGTTTTTAATATTTACCGATCCGGTCCGGTTAAACCGGCGGTTTGCCGCAAGTAATCCGTTAACCGGAACGGTTATTTTGGATTTTTAAAAAATATTAACCACCGGATTTTTTAAAGCTTTTTTAACCGACTATTTAACCGATCTGCGGTCCAGATTGATCGTTTTTCGGTGAAAAACCGGACCGTGAACACCCCTAGTGTTGCGCTGTGCCATGGATGGTAGAAACAATATTATATTATGAATTAAATATAATTCGATCGGACCTTACAATCCGAGTGTATGGACCAAGAATCAGTTTATAGACATGTACGGCTCACTTGAATAAAATGTTTACTAGCGAACCAGTCAACATAAGGTGGTTGGAATGGTAGGATCAGTACGATTTTTGACTAAATTTTGTTACATTTAAAATTATTTTTAATATAAATAAAAATACATATTTAAATAAAATAGATACATATAAATTATTCATCAATTAGTTTACGCATTGATTTTTTTTTTCAAATTGTTAAGATATTTAATAAATATTTTAATATATATGAAAATATTAATAAATTAAATTCTAATCCAACCTTATAAATTATTGAATAATAACTTGATCGTTCCGATGACAGTCCAATTCTAAGAATCTTGGATTTATTGCACATTAATAAAGTTGTAATACAATATCATTTTGTTCACATAAATATTAATAGAATAATTTATGAATATTCATTAAGCATTGAACATATTGTCATAAAAGCATTCTTAGTATGATTACTTGGAGTTTGGATAACATTACATTTATCGTAGTAAAGTGTTTTTAATACTAAAATTTATATTTTGTTTAAATAATTGTTTTGGTCTGGTCAAACTAACCCGTAACTTGGTCAACCAAGATCGATCCAAGTTGTGTCATTTTTTGGACTTTTTTAAATAACACCTAAAATATAATCAACCTGGATAACAACTTAATTCAGTCAGTCGATTGATTCAAAGAAATTTCTTTATTTCCCATATGCGTATTTAATTTTATGAAATAAAAATATTTTAGGATTCATGCAGTAAATGTTTATAACAAATGATAATATAATAAGATTATAAATTATATATTTAAAGGTAAATAAATTTATTGATTTGTTCATGCACATTTATAATTAAAAAAAACATAATATATTTTAAAAATAAAAAATTAGTTAGTTGATTATGAAATTGACATGATGATTCGATATTAGTTAATTTATTTGTAGTATGTTATTCATAAGTTATTCAATACTAGTACAACACCCGTGTATTACACGTGTGCTTGTTAAAAAATTATTCTTAAATTTTAAAATTAATGAGAAAACTATATTAAATTTAGTTTACTTTTTTTACAAAAAAAATATATTACTATATATTTTGGAATGATATGTGTTACTTATGACTTATATGTGTTATATTATAATAGTTTTTATAACTTATATCATATAACTACTTGAAATATAAATATATTAGTTGATAAATAATTTTATTTTTCTAATTGATATTAAAAGTAATTTTATTATTGTTATAAAGATAAATATAAATTATTTTTTTTATACATACAATATGGATGTTAAATCGAAGCTCATCAAA